TTCTGAGCATCCACGGACTATGCGCTAGTATGAAGCACTCCGTTTCGGAGGAGAGCAAAATGTACACTTTCAGCAAATTACATCAAGTTCATAGTAGCATCAAAATTTAATGTTGTGCAAAGCAGCACTGAAGAATAGACATACGGTGATAATTACAATTGGACATGAAACAGCAATTGGAAATTCTATGTCCACCTTGGGTAGTACCTTGGGATTCAGGGTGACTTGCTTCCACACAAGTTTGATGGACTTACCAACCTTCTCAGAACCCAATGTAAAATTTGAAGATGCTGCCAATGTTTGGTGGGTGGTACTCAAAGGGAGCTTTGTTGGATATTTGGAAGTTTGTGCCCTCTTTCTAACTCTTTGATTTCGCATTTGTACATTCCTTTCTAAGTCTCTTGATATGTTCTTCCAAATGAGCTGTCTTCGTTTGTCATCTCTAACAAGCCAACATCTTCATGAATTGACCTGTTAGGGCATAGCTGATGAGCAGAATATCAGAACTACAATTTGAACCAACAAATGTGATAAACCGCAATGTGTATGTCATTGGAATACTAAATACTGTCTTTAATATATCTGCAGAGCATGGGGACGGGGGGAAGAAGTTTGTGACAGTTGACAAATTTGTCATGATTCTTCATCCTTGAATCAGTTGATGGAAAACCCAAAAGTGAACTTTTCCTTAAATTTGTCAGTGCAACAGCCAAATACCATGGTGGGGGGGGTTGGTGGGAAGATTAATCCAAGCATCAAATGAGCAACACCCAGAACAATAAGTGACAATAGTCTCAAGCACAAAGGTAGACTCAGATCCTTAAAATCCTGCTCTAACTCCTGTAAACAGTCACATCAAGATAATATCACTGTAACTGAACTTGTACATGAGGTAGCTTAGAAAAGGACACTTAAGTCAAAATTTGTTTTTGGAAACTGAATATGAGCTCAATTTTTATCAAAATTGTCAATTTCTTTAGTCTTTGGAAGCAAGTTCAACTTGAAGTATAATACCAGATTTCTTCCTTTGTTCAAACCTTCACTTTTGAAACTATGCCACTGAAAACTGTCTTGAGGATCAAGACATAACAATTTGCTTTTCAGCTCATCAAGATTAAAACTGCCAGCAATCTTGACCACTTAGTCATTTTTAACCAAGTTTGTAATTTGATTGAAAAAAATCAAACATTTGCCCTTTAATTAGTCAATTTTCTTTCCGTTTTCACTCCTTCCTTGGGCAAGGTTCACATGGACATCCTCTAGTATGCCAACGAAGTAGTAATACTTCACCTGAGAGTTGATGTCATTAATACTGTTGAGTTTTTTGATTGTAAGGGTGCAAGTCATGAGTCAGTTCTTGCTCAACATTCAAGGTAAGATACCTCCTGCAGGTAGCGGTGAACTTACGAGGAAAGAAAGAACACAGAGACAGTAAAAGGTAAGCTTGTTAAATTGGGACAAGAATATTGAACATCTGTGAAAATTCCAACATTTGGACTAAGATTTGTACAACTTGATATCAGGTGCAAATGGTTGCCAAGAGGGATTGGGCAGGAGTGGGTTTTAGAGACACTGTAGAAGAATGAAATGCAGAAATGCAGTAACAATGGGCTATTTAATAGTCAGAAAAATAGGCAAAATGTTTTTTTAGCTGCAGCCAAAAGCCCCAGCTGGTATGCTGCTCTTAGATGCTAGGTTTACAGATACAATGGCACAGTAGTTTGAGAGATGCTTGATGTTTTAGTTCATGTTTGAATGAATAATATGAGGAACTAATTTGAGGTACTGTAAAGTGAATTTCAAAAATTTGATTTGAATAGGACTTCCAGGTTGGTATTCAGTTGTGAGAACCCAACTTTAAGGATCACAACTTCATGAGTAAGGCAGAGAAGAGATCAACTGGGTGATTTCAGCGATGTAAAGATTTAGTTTAAAGGAGAGACAAAGGAAACTGGGTATCTTTTGAGAGCAAGAGAATTATTCCCATTGTCTTGGCTATTATTTATTACTCACGACATAATGCAAGCAGATTATCTTTCCACTGCTGTTTGTGGGAGATTGCTGTGCACAAGTTGACCGTACATTTTCTGCATTACAATAATGAGTACACTTCACACAAAAAAAACGTGCAATTGGCTATTCGCCCCATTTGAATTATCGAGTGGTTGTGAAAGATGCACTACAAGTGAAGTACTGTTTTCTGTATGCTTGGTCATGAGAGTATAATCGATCTCGTAGCATTGTTGAAAGATCAGGGGACTGTTGCTGCTGTTAGATCAGCATTTGTCTTTCATACAACATTACCTGTTTATTTATATCTGTGAGACCTTATACTGTACAAATTGACTGCAACATTTTCCAATGAAACAGCAGTGAATACGTAATAATATAAACAATTCATTGATTCTGACATGCTTTCGGTGGCCCTAAGGATGTGACTGGTACTATTTAAATGAAATTTTAAAAAAATGAAAAACAGAAATGTCAAAGGATATGAAAGAAGAGTAGTAAATGGCACTAATTTAATGACTGCTCAGAGTTAAGTACATAAATATAGTAATAATGGGGAAATCCTTAGTTTAAGGAAAAAGCAAATGCATTTATAGCTCATGCTTTAGTGTCTTCGATGTGCTAATGTAGGTAGGCGAGTTATAGGGAGGATATTACTAAGCTAGAGAGTGTTCAAAAGAGATTTACCAGGATGTTGCCAGGTAAGAAAGTTTTGAGTTATAAAGAAAGGCTGGATAGGCTGGGACATTTTTCACTAAAGTGTAGGAAGTTGAGAGGTGCCCTTACAATCAAAAAACTCAAGAGTGTTAATGACATTTAAATAGTGAGGTATATAGATAGAGTTAATAGTAGTTGTCTTTTCCCTAGGATGGGGGAATTTCAAGACTAGGCGGCACATTTTTAAGGTGAGAGGAGAAAGATTTAAAAAGGACCTGAGGTGCAAATTTTTTAGAGGGTGGTTCACGTATGGAATGAGCGTCCTGAGGAAGTGGTGGATGTAAGTACAATTATGATGCTTAAAAGATGTTTGGATAAGTACATGAATAGGAAAGGTTTGGAGGGATATGGGCCAGGAGCAAGCAGGTGGGACTAGTTTAGTTTGGGATTATGTTTGGCATTGGCTGTTTGGACCGAAATGTCTGTTTCTGTGCTGATGACTCTAGGACTCTATTTAATAGAGTGCATACAAATTAATTTGAAGAAGGAATAGGCAAAACCAATTGCAGTTCATAATGGAAGAAGTAGCATAAGGAATAGAATGAGTTTTTGACAGAGATCTGGTATAGAAGTAATGGGTCTAAATGATGTTCCTTGTCCTGTGCTGGATGTTGCAACATAGTTTCTCCCACTGTCCTAACCAGCCTAACCAGAGTAGGTGCATTATTGAGGCCCTATTTCTGCTTTGGCTAAATGAACGTAACCCTACTGGATGCAGATCAAATGCGGCATCTTTTTAATCATGTCTCACAACTGGACAACAACCCTGAAAATCCTTTTCCTCTTGTTAGTTTCCAAATTCTTGAAATTCATTACAGTACCTCAAATTAGTTCCTATTCTTTTTATGGCATAACAATTCACTGTTTTAACTAACTGTGCATTACCAGGCAGCCTGGTAATGTTCCTTGCTGTCTGTGATTTTTGTCATGAGATTTTGAGTGATATGGGGCATCATTCCTGTATCAGAACCACAATACATCATTATTGACTAAATCATTGAGATGTTAGTGGCTTTCCCTCCAGTCCTTAATATGCTACAATGCTTTCTCACAGGATAGTTTCAATGAATTTTTGCTTTATTGTTGATTGTATTTTATTAATAAAGGAACTTGATATTAAAACAGAACTGAAATATAGATCAGTTGCAGATGTGGGTGGAGAAATGGCAGATGGAGTTTAATCCGGCTAAGTGTGTGGTGCTGCACTTGGGGAGATCAAATGTTATGGAAAAGTTTACAGTTAATGGCAGGACTCCGAACAGCATTGATGTAAAAGGGAACTTGGGGTTCAAGTCCATAGCTCCCTGAGGGTGGCCACGCAAGTAGATAGGGTGGTAACGAAGGCGTATGGCATGCTTACCTTTATTGGTCAGGGAATTGAGTACAAGAGTCATTGTGTCATTTTGCTGCTTTATAAGACTTTGGTTAGGCCATACTTAGAATATTACATTCAATTCTGGTCACCACATTACAGGAAGGATGTGGAGGTTTTGGAGAGGTTTACCAGGATATTGCCTAGATTAGAGGGTATGAGCTATAAGGAGAGGCTAAAAGAAACTCGGATTGTTTTCTCTGGAGTGGTGGAGGCTGAGGAGAGACGATAGAAGTCTATAAATTTATGAGATGCATAGATAGGGTCGACAGTCAGAATCTTTTACTCATATTTGAAATGTCTAATTCCAGGGGACGTGCATTTAAGGTGAGAGGGAGAAAGTTCAAAGGGGACAGGAGGGCAAGGTTTTTTAGAAGTCTGGAACACGCTACCAGGGATGGTGATGGAGGCAGATACCATAGGGATATTTAAAGGACTTTTAGATAAGCACATGAATATGCAGGGAATGGAGGGATATTGACCAAGGGCAGGCAGAAAGGATTTAGTTTGATTTGGCATCATGTTTGGCACAGCAACGTGAGCCAAAGGACCTGTTCCTGTGCTGTACTGTTTTATGTTTCATGTTTTGAAGTTTTTTGTTTTGTGTGTGTGAGAACTAGACGAATAGGAGTAGGCTATTCCACACCTCAAGCGTGTGCCATGCACTAAGATCATGACATCAGTTCCCTAATTCCCTTTTCCTGTTTATCTCCAATCTCCCGTCACCCTTAACTCCCTTGTTAGTGAAAAATCTGTTTAACAGCCTTGAAAATATTCACTGACCCAGCTTTCACTGCTCACCGAGAGGAGAGAATTTAAAGCAAGAAAGATCTTCTGAGAGAAGTCTTCTGCACCTCTATCATAAATTGGAGATCCCTTTTGTTTGTTTCTCCCAACTTTAGATTCTTCCATGAGGTGAAACATCCTGTTTACATCTATCCTGTCAAATCCCCTCAGAATGTTTTTTTTATTCACACGTGGGATGTGGATGTCGCTGGCTGGCATTTATTGCCCGTCTCTAGCTGCCCTTGCACTGAGTGGCAATTTCAGTGGGCAGTTGAGTCAACCATATTGTTGTGGGTTTGGCGTCATGTACGTCAGACCAAATGAGGACGGCAGATTTCCTTCCCTGAAAGACACTAGCGAGCCAGATTTTCTGACAATCGCTAATGGTTTCATGATTATCAATAGATTCTTAATTCCAGACATTTTTTGTTGAATTTAGATTCCACCAGTGCCATGGCAGTATTCGAACGCACATCCCCAGAACATTAGCTGAGTTTCTGGATTCGTTGTCCAGCAGTAGTAACACTGGCCATTGTCTTCCCATTGTATGTTTTTATAAGATTATTTTTCTTGATTCCAGTGAATAAAGGTCCAACCTGTTTGACTTTTCCTCACAAAACAATTCCCTCAAACTGGAAACAGCTTAGTGAACCTTTTCTGAGCAGCTTCTAATGCAAGTGTGGCTGTCTTTGAATTACGTGACCAAAACTACACACAGTATTCTAGGTGTGGTCTCATCATTGCCCTGTACTGTTGTGGCAAAACTTCCTTATTTTTGTACTCCTAACTCCTTGCAATAAAGACCTGTATTCTATTTCCTTTACTAATTAGAGCAAACATTTTATCAAGTGGCACTTATGAGACCAGGAGTGTACTGGTTGATCAAGAGGTAAACATTATTGATGTAAAAACGCTCACTATGTAATTGAAATGTAATATGGGGGTACATACACCACTAAGCATTAACCACTTAAATAATAATGCAACTTTGCCTTAAATAAAACTTACTGGCAAAGAGTCTTCTCATTCACACCCTAAACAGATTACTCAGACAACGTGGGGATCATGATAAATACAGTAAACTTACAGGATTTGAGATTGATAATTTTTACCAGTTTATCGAGCGTGCTGGTTCATAAGGTGCCGATTAAAACAAAGTTTGCTGCACTTGCTGTAGTTACATGCTATCTTTTTGTAACTAATGTACAAGGATCCCCAGCCCTTCTGTACTGCAGCATTCTGTAGTCTCTCTACATTTAAATGATAACCTGCTTTTCTACTCTTGCTACTGAAGTAGCCACCCTCAAATTTTCTCATGTTGTATTCCATTTTCCAAATTTCTGTCTACTCATGTAATCCATCAGTGTCTCTTTGCAAACTGTTTGTATCCTTCTCGTAACTTGCTTTCCTTTTATAAAATTCAGACTTATTTGTGTATAGTCGGCATGTCTGGCTGCAATAATATACCATCTCTTTATCCATGTCATTAATATAGATCCTAAATAGTTTGGGCCTCAGCTGTAATCTCCAGCACTCACTGTTTGCCAGCCTGAAAATGACCTGTTTATCCTCATTCTCTGCTGTCAGCCAGTCGTCTACCCATCCTAATGTATCAATCCAGATATCATATCCCCTTGTGTAGTAATGTTTTCTGTGGCACCTGATTGATTGATTGTTTTCCAAAAGGAAAACAAAATGTGTAATTTGGATGTTAGGAAGTTTTTTTATGAAGTGAGTTGTAAGAATCAGGAGCATGCTATCGGTGAGGATGCGGGAAGCTGAGACAAACTGATCTATACAGTAAATTGAACAGTTTTGAAGGAAATAATCTGCTTGGGCTGCAAGAATAGCAGGGAAGTGAAACTTTGTGAACTTTAAAAATGTTAATTACAATTTTGTGAAGGCAAAGTGAAGGATCAAAACAACCTGATTAAAAAATTGAATGAACCTTGTTCCCAATTTCTATCACTTTTACAAATTGAAATCTTACTATGTTTCTTTCAGATTGCAGCCATTCTTCGAAGGCGGAAGTTAGATTACTACGTTCACAAACTGCTTCCAGAGATTCTCCAATCGACCTCATTCTTGACTGCAAATGGTGGCTTCTACATTATGTTTTTCTGTATCCTCAGGTGAGGGGGTCACTAACCGATGGGGGCATTGATTTGTAGGGTCTGTCCTAAAATTGTTGGAGGCTTTATTCTATGTGCTGACTGTGCATTGATATGTTCGACTAATTACAGGCAATTGCTACTTTAAAACTGTCATTTGACAAGTACAGCCAAATGGTGCCCATCAAACTTGTTTGCAATGTGATATTAAATGAACTTTTTTTTTGAGCATTTCACTAGGCTAAATGCAACTTAGGTTTTACGATGTGTGTCTCTTTAGAAACAAGAAGCAGCGTGTTTTAAATTAAACAAGTGAAGTTAATTTGATTTGGTTGATTCCTGTGGTTGTGTTTGCTACTTTTAGCTGAGTGAATGTTAAAATAAATAGAGTGACTTGTATTTAAGACATTGCTAGTAATTCTGATCACCTCGCAAACTTTCGGTAAAACCCTGGAGACTACAAAATTTACCTGATATCACAGTATAAAAGTGGTATAGATCATCATAGAATCCCTATAGTGTGGAAACAGCCCCTTTGGCCCAACAAGTCCACACCGACACTCAGAGCATCCCACCTAATCTACACATCCCTGAACACTACGGGCAATTTAGCACGGCCAATTTACCTAACCTGCACATCTTTGGATTGTGGGAGGAAACCATAGCACCCGGAGGAAACCCATGCAGAGATGAGGAGAATGTGCAAACTCCACACAGACAGTCCCCCGAGGGTGGAATCGAACCCAGGCCCCTGGGCAGCAGTGCTAACCGCCGAGCCACTGTGCCATGGTATCTTGGTCATTGGCAACTTACTGATATTGTAACCATTCATTTAAAATGTGATTTTTTAAAAAGGTCACGATATAAAGGAGATGTAAAAATGCTGCCTGAAATAACTGTGTTGATGTCACAGAAAACTGACCCTCACTCCCCATCCCTGGTGTGCCCATATACATGACCTATCCCACTTTGCTGTGTCCTCATGAATATCCTGCAGTCTTCGCATGCTTATTTCAGTGCCTTTGGTACTTTCATATGCGCTCTTCTTCTCTGGCATACCCACCATCCCTCTCACTTACTTAAGCCTATGGTGCCCTTCATTCAGGTACGTCTTCCCTTCCCTTGCAGACTGCTTGGGTCTTGCTCCACGACCTTCCGTTCCCTATGCCTGTTGTGCTCCAACCTGTTTTCACAGCAGATATTCATTCTCCCAAACCACACTCTCTATTGTGGACTGACCCTGAGGCACCTTGCCTCCAGCTTTGAGGTTTAGGTGTAGCTAGCTATTTTGTGCTGCTGCTAAGCCGTGGCAACTCAAATTTTACTCTCCGTTAGCAGAGTGCTACCGTCAAACTGAAAGGTGTTCTGCATATCACATGAATGAGTACTGTGGTATGAGCTTAATTGCTGGTGTGATGCTAGGAATGTAGGCTGTACTCCTAACGACTGGTGAAGTCTCAAAATGGATATTATTGACTGTGCTTAACTAGTCCATTCTTGCAAAGTTCAAAACATCCTGTTCATCATGAGGTGTGATTCCACAATAAGGCAATATTTAATAAGCACTCCAGATTGTTTAATTATTATAGAATCCCTACAGTGTGGAAACAGGCCCTTCGACCCAACAAGTCCACGCCAACCCTCAGAGCATCCCACCCAGAACCATCCCCCTAATGTAGGCATCCCTGAACACTACAGGCAATTTAGCATGGCCAATCCACCTAGCCTGCAGATCTTTGGACTGTGGGAGGAAACCCACGCAGAGACAGGGAGAATGTGCAAACTCCACACAGTGGATAATTATGCTATCAATCATTTTATTGTTATCAGTTGAGCTTTCTTTGTGCTTCACTTATGTTTTTGAAAAGCTAAGTATACATTCATATATAGGACCCTGTTCTTTGCAGACAGAAAGAACGTCTTCATGTTTAGTGCCTATTTTAACTAAACCAAAGTTGGAGGATGGCCATTTCCTGATGCTTTCCCAGCTGTGATGCCTTTACTGGTCACATTTGTCTGGTTTGATTGAAAATATAAGATTGCGGATTAATGGTTTCCTGGTGCATCCCTCCGTGGTGAGGACTTGACCAATCGCAAATCTCAGGCCACCCAGTGAGCACCATAGTGCAGTATGAATTATTGTTTGCTTTGAAATTTGGTATTCTTGCTATTCTGACCTGATGAATGCAAGACAAGGTTTATGAGAATGGCTCTTTGTTATGATGCTAATTGTAGAAAATGGAATTGAGTTATACTCCATGTGTTGCTTTAAAAGTTTAGTACAGTAATACATTTTATTATTTCTCAAATTATTCATGGGCAGACCTGAAAAAAACCCCCTGCATTTTGTGAGTATTTGGTATATTTTATGAGTCCTATTTATCTTTTGGCTACAGAATTAAGAAGAAATTGAAATTCAGTAAATAAAAGCCTAACAGGAAGAAAATTTCTGTTGGCAGTTACGTTTTTTTTAAGTTTTATTTATTTGTGATAATTCTTATGTAGATAAGCCAGGGGATTACATTGATGTAGCTAATAAAACTAGTTTTAAATGTTGGGTTTTGTTTTTCTCCAAATCTAGGAAACTTCTTGGGAAATTCTACATATGGTCTGCGGGATTTGGTGCTGCTTTGCCTGCTTCCTATTTGGCCATTTTGATTGAGAGGAAAAGCAGGTACTTTTTAAAAAAAAAATCTCAATAAATAGGTACTTGGTTTGCAAAGTGTTCATGATACCTACATGTGCTTGTAGTAACTTTTTTCAAGAATATAATGCAATGAACTTCTGAAATGGCAAGTAAGTAACACTTTTGAATCACTATCTTCAAGTGTTAATAATACTCTGATATAAAGTATTCGTTTTATTTTATGTTTGAGGTCTATTGACAACATTGTCAACTCCCCCACCCTCCCCACTTCCAACCCTGACACTTGCCAATTTTCTTCTATCTCATATCTTAAATGCTTTTCCTATTTGTAGAAAAGTTGCTGTTTCTCTGAAGATTTTATCTCAAATGGGTTTTCATGTGTGTTTATTTGTGAGTGTCAGAAGATTATTCAGCTGTGAAGGGCATCAAATGATGGTGGTGTGCATAGCCGGAAGGAGGACTTAGATAGCAATAAGGAGTGTGGACTTTATTTTCCTCTCCAATCGGTCAGGGTGCTGAATTATTTGTAGCCATCCACAAACTGAGGTCAGTTAACTCAGCAGGGCTCTTGGTTTGTAATGTGTTGTTCTCAGGATAAAGGAAGCTGTGACACACCTCTGGCTGTAATGTGGATTGAGTCAACTTCCAGTGTGTGCTATCACATTTTGCCTAAATCTTGCACGCTTAAATTCATTTGGTAATGAGGTGACTTTCTTGACCATTGTGCCTCATTATTTTCCTAATTGTAACTATAAGGCACTGTCTTGTAAAAATAAGAATTCTTCTTTTCCTATTGTAAAAGGGCTTGAGCTTGACTGTTTGTCCCCCAGCATTCTAAATACTAGTTAAATCAAAATCTTCCTAACAATGTTAGAAAAGTTGAATTCACAGCTGCTCAACAATGTCAACACACTACCTAGAATTAATGGAACTTGCCTAAATAAGTCCTTTATGTTGACAGCTTATAAAATGCAGCGATCTAGTAAAGTTCTATTTCTAAGACTGGTACATTGGCAGTAACTGTTCATTTTGGAATCAGAAGACATTTACCATGTGTAACAAATCATTCTCTTAAATTATGAATACAAAGTGTATTTTGAGCACTGAATAAATTGAAATTTAAAACCTTGTATCATTTTATGCTTTATTTTTGTGCCTGTATTTAGGTGTGTTTTAACATTTTTTTAAAATTGCCTTTATATCTCAAATGGTGTTCCTCAAGTTTTGCTTCCATTTATGCTATGTTCTCATAAATTCCACTGAATTGAAGAATCCTTATGCAACGCAGTATTCAAACTTGGCACATCCAACATTTGGATATGCCATCAGTTATCATAGAACAGTTGTCAGGCATATTGTGGACATTCCGGAATAGATTCACTTTGTTGATTGAGTGACGGGCAGTAGCGATAAAATAATGATGAAGAGAAAAGATGAGAAAAATTGATAGTCAGAAATGCTGCAATAATTTATAGATATCTTGTGATAAAGGAGCAATTCCAGATAAAAGATAAAATTTCTGTTTTGTAAATGTAATGCTGATTATGATTTTCCAAAGTGCAAGGGAAGGTCCTACAATGATGGCAGGATTTGTTTCGAAATTTTGTTTAACAGTTTATGAAAAGGTATAGGGAGAGGAAGGGGACATTATTATCTATACCTTTTTTGCAAGAGAAACCATTTTTTTTCAAGGAAAAAGAATCCAGTATTGAATCATGTGGAGCTGTTTCAAATAAGAAACTGAATTTGGCAATTGAGTGGTGACAGAATATGAACTAAAGGACATTTGAGCCAGCAGACTTATAATGTTCTTAGTTTATGGGGGGTTATTTTAATGTTTGCACTAAAACAACTTTATATCAACCCCAGAGTTTAGAAGGTGGTGTTGAAGAAATTCACCAAAGTTCATAACACAGTACTTTCTAAATCCATGACAACTTCCATCTAGAAGGACAAAGGCAGCAGATATGTGGAAACTCCACCACCTGAAAGTTCCTTTCCAAGTCACTCACTATCCTGACTTGGAAATATATTATCATTATTTCACTGTCAAAATCCTGGCGCTCCCTCCCTAATGGCATTGTGGATTGCATATGGATTATACCACACAAACTGCAGTGATTCAGTAAGGCAGCTCACCACCATCTTGTCAAGGGCACCTCGCGATAGGTAATAAATGCTGGCCCAGCCAGTGAGGCCCACATCCCATGAATGAACAAAAGAAAATTTTAGATTGGTGGTGTGTTGTGGTTCCAGCTGACAGTACCACAAGGCAAGTTAGATCTCCGTGAAACCTGGTTTGATATATCCTAAGTTTTATTGTTGCATTTATATAGCATGGTAGTTTTCAGTGAACATGTTCAGAAGAGGCTGCCAATATACTTCTAACAAAAGAACATCAAAGTTTATTATACACAAAAAATCTAACAATATTAGATTATGCAATAACAATTTGAAACCATCTTATTTCAGGTAGCAGAAATCAAGTTTCAACCCTTTCACTCTCAACAACAACCATACAGATCATGAAACCTCAGTGAAGGGTCACATTGTATCCACTTTGAAGGTCCTTGTTCAACGAGCCCAGCCATAAATGATTTTGGAGCTCTCTTCTTACTAATATCTAAGTCACTGAGGAATTCTTTTCCTTTGTCCTGATTGTTTTAGAGACTGCTAAATAGCACTGCTGCTGTTGGGGCATTTTCTGTCTGAATTACCTGCTTCCCTTTGGAAGAAACTGCATGTTTTCTAAATGAATTTGTTTCTGACTGTCTCCTTGTGTCAAATTACACCTTGATCTTCGGGATCAACCTAATATTGTCTTTTTCTCTGCCATCCTTATTAGAAATGCACTGGACTATTCACTTAAAGGATTTTAAAGATCTGATTTAGATGTGTATAAACAGCAATTCAAACAACCAGGAATCACGCTTGACTCAAGATTGAAATAAACACAATGATTATTCCTTTTGAACATGCCAGAAAGGAATATAAATCAAATTTAAATTCACATGGTGTTCTTCAACTTTAGACCTCAAGTTTCCAAACAACAATAATGTTGTGAACCTTTACTGTTGATCTGCTTTTTTTTTATTTTCCCTGTCATAATATTTCACAAATGCCACTTTGTTATGTTTAAATTACTTTTGCCTGTCTTGATATTTAGTCCATTTTGGAGAAGAGATGTACATCTTTTAATACTTGGGTCTTTTCTAAACCATCACTGGAAACTTTTGATTCAGCTTAACTGATTGGAAATCTATAGAAGTAGAGTTATTTCATTGGTGACACTTTTCAGAAAGATTAAAATGTAACATTTTATAGCATAACATTTAATCTTGCACATTAAGATTGCAATTGTCTGTCATACTTGCATGCCACAGAATTGTTACAGTACAAAAGGACAGCATACAGCCTTTCAAAGCCTGTGTTTGCTTTCCAAGTGAGCAATTACTCTAATGCCAATTTCCTGTCTTCTTCCTATATAAATTCTACCTATCGAGATAAAAATTCAATTCTCTTTTGAACACCTCAATTGGACATCCCTGTTTCACACTTCCAGGCAGTGCATTCCAGATCTTAGCTACTTGCTGCATGAGAAAGCTTTTCCTCATGTCTCCATTTCTTTTTTTGCCAGTGACATAAGTATGTGCCCTCTTGTTCTTGATCTTTTAACCAGTGGGTACATTTTTTCCCAAAGTGCTCTTTATCCAGACAACTCAGAATTTTGAATGCCTTTATCGATTTCCTTCTCTTCATTAAGGAAAAGAGTCCTAGTCATTATGCATACAAATTAGATTTTAAGGTTTAAGCTTAACGTGAGTAAATATGAGTTCACAGATAAACTGTGGTCAAATACCCCACACATTGCACTTAAGACTGGTTGATGTGGTCAAAACAGATATTATCCGGAATTAGTGGCACCATGGGTCACCAAATATCATTAAAACTCTGCCTGCTTTGTAAGTGATTCAAGTACTTCCCATTGGGATATTTGGGCTTGGTGTACTCTCAAAGCCTCTTAGACTTCAGTTGCCTCCGACTGCTCACCTCTTGGTACTACAATCTTTTCTTCCAATGCAGAGTTCTCCAGGATCCCTGAGTGCTCTTACAGGTCTAAATACTGGTAACGGTTTTGTCTTTTGTCAAAAAACTATCTTTACTAAGCTGTCACCGAACTTCTCTAAGCTCTAGCTTTTCTTAGCTGCCTCAAGCAAATATTGCTGTGGGCCTCCTTCACCCCACTCACAACTACACAACACTATTATGGTGCAGTAGTAGTGTCCCTACCTTCGAGCCAACAGGCTCAGGTTCAATTCCTACCTTCTCCAGTCATATGTACTAAAATCTTTGAGCAGGTAAATATGTAGTGGTTTTCAGGAATTTTATTTTTATTCACTTGTGGTTTGGGCATCACTGACAGACCAGCATTTTTTTGCTTCTTCCTATTTGCCCTTGAGAAGGAGGTGAGCTGTCTACCTGAACTGCTGGCAGTCCATATGCTATAGTTATATCCATATTGATGTGTGGAGTGGAATTCCAGGATCTTGATGAACAAATGGTGATATATTTCCAAGTCAGGCTGGAGAGTAGCTTGAATAGGAACTTGCAGGTGGTGGTTTTTCCAAGTGTCTGATGCCTCTGTCCTTGTAGTTGGAAGTGGTGGTTGTTTTGGAAAGTGTTAAGGATCATTGGCGAATTTCTGCAGTGCATTTTGTCCACAGTACACACTGGTGTTACTGAGTGTCTGTGGTTTGTTGTTTTTTTTCCAATCTAGTGTGCTGCTGTTTCCTGGATGATGTCAAATTTATTGTGTTGTTGGAGGTGCATTCATCCTGGCAAGTGTGGAATATCCTGTCACACTCCTGACTTGTGCTTTGTAGATGGTGGACAGGCTTTGGGGAGTCAGGGGTTGAGTTACTCACCACAGTATTCCTAGCCTCTGACCTGCTGTAGTAGCCACTGTATTTACTGTTCAGTTTCTGGTCAATGGTAACCCCAGATTTTTGATAGCACCATTGAATGTC